GGATCCTTACCAAATTATCAACAGCTCATTCATATCATGGTTGTGTCCACTGGATAGCTCCCCAACACTCGCAAGAATGTAGCAAACTCCTGTGAGGAAACATATTCTCCTATCATGTATAACTAGTACTATTTATTTTAACAAAAAAGTGTTTTGCAGTCCAAAACTGAATTGCAAAACATTAGCCATTGGATTAAAAGGGGGCACCCTGATATTGTGGGAGGGCCTCCTATCCAATGGCAAGGCAGTTGAAGATCTAGAGAAATGTACCTTTAGATTCCTGAGGGCATTTTGTGCCCTTTGATCAGCCATTGAAGCTTCAAAATCCACATAGAAAATTGAGTCAAAGTATCTATCAAAAACCCAAGAAACAATTAAGCAGTCATGTAATCAGTAGACTTATTAAGTTAATGTTGAAATCATACAAATGTACATTTTTTCCCCCTAATTGTCCAACTATATTGAGTCTTAATTACACTGAAGTTTCTTATCTTTTTCCAACAAAAGTGGATGTGATGCCGAGCAAAGAAATGTGAATCCGAATAGCTTGATCCTTTAACATTCACTTTCCTAGTCGTCAATTCCTTGTCTCTTGTTGCCGAAGCAAAGTCCCTGCCTCCACCGTTATAATTTAATCATCTTCCTCATCATTTCCATCTCCACTTCCACCATAGAGAGGAAGGAAAAAACAATATGGCTGATTGGGGGCCAGTATTCATGGCTGTGATGCTGTTCATACTGCTGACACCAGGCCTGCTGATTCAGGTGCCAGGGCGTGGCAGGTTCATAGAGTTTGGTAACTTTCAGACCAGTGGGGTGTCTATATTGGTGCATTCCATTCTTTACTTTGCATTCATGTGTATCTTCCTGTTAGCCATTGGTGTGCACATGTACATTGGCTCATAGTTGATATATAAACCTAATGTAGGCTCTCGCAGCTTTGGCTGCATTAGTCCGGGTGCACTAAATCCTTGACAAATGTTAGAGTTCTAACTGTTCCAATAGCAGCCTCCCTTTCCCTCTTTTCCCCAATTGCCCTTGTTCAAATAATAATAATAATAATAAATAAACCTAATGTAGAGTTGTTATAAGTTTGCGGATTGATTTCTGAATTTTGATTCCAATATATGTTGTTCTCAAGCTGTTTGTTTCTTTAATTTTCTGAACCAAGTTTGTGTTTTCTTTTAGCAGGGAAATGTTATGGTCACACTGGGAATTATTGGGCCATACAAAATACAGTATATGTGTTTAATTCATTTAGTTTTATTCATTTAATGCATAAAGAAAAGCATAGTGGAGTTATATTAGAAATAGGAGAGGAATATTTATAACCTCATTTATAACACTAATGCCATGTATCATCTCCGTATGAGCTCACATGCAACTAGTCACGTGAGTAAATTTTCCATTGCTTATGTCTGTCATTTGGGCTTTAATTATGTTTTAGGGCTCAATGACTGACCTTAAATCAATGTTGGGACACCTCCCCAACAATTTCCAAGCATTATTTCTAAATAAAACAGCGTTTCTAGATAGCCATATTAGTTGACGAAGCAGTAGTGAGAAGGGAGACTGGCTTGCAATTCCAAAAGGGCCGAAAGCACCCACATAAGAAGATTAGGTGCTGTAGCTGATCGACCGAAAGCAAAGGTTAGTCTTAGTCAATGTGAAAAGATGTTGATCTCAACACAAAATGGGCATATAATTATCTACAACTAATGATCAGTCATAAGTGGATTATTCCATTTAATATCAATCGAGTAATTTGTAGATACAAGTATGAATAATGTATTTGTCTACACTTGAAAATTTACAGCTTCTAGTTTTTGATGTTAATGTATTGAAAATCTTTGTTCTATACCAAACCCACTTGGTACAAGCATACTAGAGATAACTAGACTATATTGCAGAGTTGTGGTTATGTGCAGGGATATGGTGGGCAGCTGGGTTAATATTATTTTTTATTTGGATGATTTGTGTTAGTGTGTAAGTTGTAGTCTTGAATAAGTAGAAGTACTCCTTGTATTCCATCTAATAAAGTTTAATTTTGTTGATTGAAAAAAAAAAAAAAAACAAACAAACCAAACATACTTGACTGCCATTCTTTTTTATCTGTCAATTATTACTCTTTAATATAGATTAAAACATATTTAAACATTTTACAAAATACAGACCTAAATTCATTAGTACATCATTACATAGTTAAATTATAACAAACACATATTTAAGTTTATAGGCAATACAAAATACATATTACACACTTAAACATATAATAAAATACGTACTTAAATTCATGCATAGGACATAGATACATTACATAAACACAGGCCTACGTTCACATAACAAATCCCATGCCTTCACCCATTTTTTCTCAGAATCTTACCTGCAGGCATGAAAGAAAAGAATGAAATAAGCATTCTAGCTAGTTGTATGATGGTTATATATTGCAAAATTAAAAGCACATAGGTATAAAAATAAAATTTTTCAATATATAAATTCTTATTAACTTTGAAAATTATCAAAAATGACAATTATTTTGGGATGGAGAATAATTACAAGAGGAAATGGGCCATGACCCCCAAAAATTTTCAAAATCTTTAAATTTTAATGGACATTTTATTCACTTGACCCTTCAAGGAGGATATTTTTAGTGCAGTTTGCTTAGTATGGTTGTAATTTTTATTTTTTGTTTTGATTTTTAAAAATTTTACAACTACTAAAAACAAAAATTAAAAATTTGTTTAAAAATTGTTTTAACATTAACAACTAAAAAGTATGAACTTGTTTAATAGTATTAAAATTATATTTATTTTTTTTTTTTAATAATCATAATAATATGTTAATAGAACACATCAAATTAAACTAATTTATTTGTTCAAAGTTGTAAAATTTATAAAAACTACATCCGTATTAAATAAAAGTTACTTACTTTGCATCCTCAAAAACTTTTGGACACTCTTATAATTTTTTTTTTATCGGCAAAGGAAAATTTTATTAAGGAAATACAAGAGGTATGTGAAACTTGTTTACGTTACTAAAACAAGAGGAAAAAAAAGGATTGGGGGTTCAATCTTAAATTATCCTAACCCAAAATTCTTTTATTAACCCGGTTCCTTCTCCTCCTGATATACAAAATATTGTTTCACCCTATGGGAACTCTACAAGCTTCTTTAGGATTATTTCTTTTATAATTTGTTTCAAGCTCATCGTCAGAAGTATATAGTATGAGATTTTCTCATTTAACAATAAAAAATTTGATATAGATGAAAAAAAAAAAAGAAGAAGAAGAAGAAGAAGAAGAAGAAAGAAAAACTGAGAGAGGAGAACATGCCTGAAGAAATTAATGGTGGATGGGAGAATGCGCTTGCGGTGCAGGAGGACCATATTTGGGGTTAGGTTTACCAACAACATACAATTGTCTTCCTCCAGCAGACTGGATTTTTAGTAAAAAAATGATAATGGCCACTGTGAAGATGAAAAAAGTGGAAAAAATTTTGTTTAGAGCCATGGTGTGTATGAGTTGAAGAGAGAGAGATCAACTAGGGTTCTAATAAGTGGATTAAGGGAGAGCCTGGGTGGTATAACTTGGTAATTTCGCCTTATATGATCATATTCTTCTGCCCCCGTCGTGAAGACAACGTGCGAGGATAGGAAAAGTCCAAGACAGTATATATTTCTTTTTTGGTTCTTGGTTAGTTGAAAAGTCAACTTTTTAGTGCTGCAAACTTATTTGGTCCTGATTACTTTTTTTTTTTTCACTCCACATGATTTGAAAATAGGTGTTTAATTCCTCAAATTATAAATGTACTTTGATCCCTTGTGAAATTGGGAAAACGTAGAATTGTTGAGCTTTTACATTCAATATTAATTAATAAAATTAAGGGTTAAGTGCACATTTCCTATGCCCCAAGGGGTAAAGAGTACAATTTCATAATTTAAGGGATTAATGATTAAGTGTACATTTTTATGTTTCGGAGGGTTAAGTACATGCAGCCAAAACCTCATTGGGGATTACTTCACTTGAGCCAAATATGGTTAATTGGTTTTAGACACTAAAAGATAATTTTATTTGATGAAAATTTCACCACTTACAAATTTTAACAAGACTTGAAAGGACAATTTTACATTTTCAACTCACATAAAGGTCAAATGTATATTTTTGTGCTTTGATGTTGTAATCCAAAAACCAGCGGAAGAGATTCCTCACTCTTCTTTTTGAACCGTCTTGGGTTAGGACCGAGTGGCAGTGGAGTCAAGCGCACCATGATAAGTTAACAAAAGCCAGTATGATTAATTTGTTCTTGACAGTGAAAGATAAAATGCATGAACTCCCCCATTCGTTCCATTGGGTGGGCCGCGCTCATCAAGAGCAGGAGCAGTGGAGGTTACCAACATTCGAATTCTCTTGTTTATTGAATAGATATTAATTTTTAATTATTATTTTTTTTGTTAAAAAAAACGTTAAAAAAATATTTTACCATTATAGTTACGAGTTTAAATCTCATTCTTAACAACTTATATTTAGTGTACTAAAAAAAAATACACATGAGTAAAGAAAAAAATAAGTGTAACAATAATATTAGAATTTTTATTATATAATTTATATTAAATTATACTAAATTAAAATGTAAAAATCAAAAGAGATAATTTCAATATCCAAAAATCCATCCATATATTCAGTGATTTATATATAACATACATCGTGATACAATTTAATTAAATTGCGAATTGATAGTCTTACGTCTTGAGATTGAAACGGAAACGGAAACACAAAAGTGGCCGTGTTTGAATTGAAACAGAAGCTGAAACATGAACGGAACTGCCTCGGCGTTGAAACGTCAAAAATCGAAAAGATCCAAACTGTGTCTAAATTCATTCCTCACATGATGAGTAAAGTAATAATGCTTTATTTCATAAATAAAAAATATTATTAAAATATATTAAGTTTGATCCTTAGTTCTTTTTTTTTTTAATTAAAAATATGCAATAATAATAATAAATTATTTTTGTTCAAAAAAAAAATCTAAATTCGATAAAATAAATATGGGTTGTAGAAACACCAAAAAAAGGGTCCTTAGTCGACACCAGCGTTAAAAATGATCCCTAATCCACACGAGTGGGTGGGTTACAACTTACAACTTGCATGAGTCAACCCACACGAGTTGTAGTTAATAAACAAAATGAGAAGGATATGAGAAGGAGATATATTGGGGTGGCCGTGGCTTAGAATTTGAACCTCCAATTAAGATGAGGCCTGGTTACCGATGGCCAGCGTGACTTTCAAACCTGCCGCTGAATTAAGATGGGGTGACGATCTACACCTTATCTTAATTGGAGGTTCAAATACACGACGATCGTCACATTTTCCTATTATGATTTAATGATGATCATTGTTGCTTAAAAAGACAGTTAATAAAATATATGTTTGATCTCAGATTCAATACTTCACATAATAAATATTAATTTATTAATTTAATTATTTTTTTTAAAGAAAAAACAATATATGACGATCGTCAATTTGTTTGGCAAAATAGATAGGCCTCAAATCACGGTAAGGCCTAGAGAATTCTATTGTTGCTTCCCACGTCAGCAGAGTACACCTTCTGTTCCATTTTACTTATATTTTACGTTTTAGAGTAGGATTTTTGTTCCGTTTTCTTCGACTTGACGTTTTTAGATTTTCAATATTCTTCTACTTATATTTCCATCCACATATATATATATATATTTTTTTGGTACATATATTTCCATCCATATTACTTTAATGCTTAAAGCATTAAATTGATTGAGGACTATCTTGCTGAAAGTTTTGAGTTTTTTTATTTTTATTTTTTATTAATTTATAATGACTGATATGGGCAAGAAGAAAGCGAAAAAAAGACATGCAAATCTTCATTAAAGCAATGTAGAGAGGGCCCAAGATGTTTACCGTGTAGAAAAATTGCAACCTAACCTCTAATTTTGTCGCTCTAATTTTTTTTTTTTTTTTGGTGAATTCTCTTTATATACTCTTACAATTGCAAAGTTAAAATCAAAGGATTTGATGTTAGATAGCAATGAAACTATTAGGATTAGTGAAATTGGGGATAAGATGGTGAAAAAAATTGAGTATATGAGTGAACCTAACATACCAAACACATAATGACTACAACATTATTATTACTACAACACTATCAATTTACTAAACAGAGTCGTGATGAATTAAATTACTGTTACAATTAGTGTTATTATATGAATCACACCTATAAATTCTAAAATTATTTTACCTTTAGTTCGTTTTGTGATCTATACTTTAATGATGTTAATGTCTCTCTATTCAAATAGACTTGCCTGTACTTCACACAACACTGGTTAAAATATTAATATGTAAAAGATACATTAATGATTAATTCAAAAAATTATGTCAATTATTAAAGCATTTTAAAAATAATTTCACAAAATTATTTTCATTTTAAAACTTAATGCTAAAGACGTTTATATGCCCGCGTAGCGGGACAAGGCCTTCACTTGTACTTTATGTTGTGGATATCTCAAGTCCATTTTTGCAGGGGCCATACCAATTCAGCCCAAGAGTTTCATAAAACCCAAAAGACTCGGATATCCATCAAAAAACGGTAAAAGCCCACGAACATATTCCCAAAATACTAAAAAAGAGCACCCAACAGAATACAGAATACCCATTCCCTAAGCAATCACAAAGTTCCCCTCTTTGGATCCTTTTTAGATAATATATAGTGGAATCCAGAACTGTTGCGTTTCCCCCTCTTTTTTTCTCATTTTTTCTTTCTTTCTTTGTTTGATTGATTGATTTAAAACTTTCTTGATTCCTAGTTTCTTACACTGAACTTTGGAGTTTGGCAATTAGGACCAAGAAACATTATTAGCAAAGAAAAAAAAGAAAAAAAAAACCCAAATGTACATTTTTTGCCCCTAATTGTCCAACTACATTGAGTCTTAATTACACTGAAGTTTCTTATCTTTTTCCACCAAAAGTGGATGTGATGCCGAGCAAAGAAATGTGAATCCGAATAGCTTGATCCCTTAACATTCACTTTCCTAGTCGTTAATTCCTTGTCTCTTGTTGCCAAAGCAAAGTCCCTGCCCCCACCTTTATAATTTAATCATCTTCCTCATCATTTCCATCTCCACTTCCACCATAGAGAGGAAGGAAAAAACAATATGGCAGATTGGGGGCCAGTGTTCATGGCTGTGATGCTGTTCATACTGCTGACACCAGGCCTGCTGATTTAGATACCGGGACGTAGCAGGTTCATAGAGTTTGGTAACTTTCAGACCAGTGGGGTGTCTATATTGGTGCATTCCATTCTTTACCTTGCACTCATGTGCATCTTCCTATTAGCCATTGGTGTACACATATACATTGGCTCATAGTTGATATATAAACCTAATGTAGGCGCTCCCAGCTTTAATTACATTAGTTCGAATGCATTAAACTCTTGATAAATATTAGAGTTTTAATCGTTGCAATAACGGCTTTCCTTTCCCTCTTTCCTCCAATTGCTCTTGTTCAAAATAAATAAATAAACCTAATGTAGAGTTGTTCTAAGTTTGCGGATTGATTTCTGAATTTTGATTCCAATATATGTTGTTCTCAAGCTGTTTGTTTCTTTAATTTTCTGAACCAAGTTTGTGTTTTCTTTTAGCAGGGAAATGTTATGGTCACGCTGGGAATTATTGGGCCATACAAAATACAGTATATGTGTTTAATTCATTTAGTTTTATTCGTTTACAATAATTGAGTGTTTGAATATATTATTTTATAAATTAATTTTAATAATAAATATCACATGTTTTATAAACTATTAATTAACAATTATAAGTATTAATAATTATTAAAAGTTAAATTAAAATACAATTGTATTGTTTGTATGCGTCACTAACAATTATTTGGGTGACCTTAACCACACGGGCTTTTGGTATCATCTGATTTTTTTTATTCAAATTGATTCAGTCTTTTTCATTAATTCTTCATGATTAATTGCTTGATCCAACATTTTCAAACGATTAATCTGATTTGCTTTACTTACTCCAGAAGCAACTAAACTTATGAACAGCTTTCAGTCCACTAGGAGTTGGAATTACGTGGGAATCCAGCCAATAATGGGCTTGTGACGTGGGAAAGTTAGTTGAATGACTTTTTTTTTGAAAATAGGTAATGGTTAGTTGAATAACTTTAATATATGTCATAATGTGCATCTGATTTGACATCAAATGAAGTTAAAAATTTCAATGTTAGGTGGATGTAGCTTTCTTCCTTTTCTTGTACACATCATCTTTTTTTTATGGAAATAGGTTCCTGTACACATCATCTTTATGTCAAAACGGGCTAATCTCCTGCTAATGCTATGGCCTAAAACAAGAATTTGATTCATTTAGAAATTAGAATCATATCCCCCTTTTTTTAAACTTCTAGACATCCATTCTCCAAAACAGAGTACCCTGTTTTTTTGTAGGAGGTCCAACATGCTACATAAAACATAGTGAAAATGGAAGATGCATAATGCCAGATAAATAACATGCAACTCTTCATTAGTTAAACATCAAGTACAGCCTACAGGTGACTAGAAGCGATTAAAAAACATAGAGTAGTATAACATATTGAATCCTAGGCATAAATGTGGATGTGAAGAACAAGAAGAAACAGGATGAGGAACAAAAAGTAAAGAACGGCATGCACAAATATGGATGCCAAACTGGTCTGCATGTTCATAAAACCAACTGGATGGTTCTTTCCAGGGAGCTGGATCACCAATCCTGGAGAAAGGAAAGCAAACAGTGCTGCAGCTATAAGAGGAGCAGCCCAATCGTGCATTGTAACTAAAACCTTCAAGAAAACACCTCAAACTTTCTGAAGAAGGAGAAGGGGGAGGAGAAGGAAAAGAATCAAGAGAAGATATATAGAAAACAAAGGGGCATTGGATGCACATTTTACATAATCTTCAACAATTCAAGTCAAATTGTGAGGGAAATAGGAATCCCATACAACTTTAAATCTTGGTACTCGTTCTAATTTATTGATTTCTTGCTTTTGTTGGATAAGGCAAAACATAACTTCCTGTAGAAATGTCCTCTCTTTTTTTTTTTTTAATGAACGTAGAAATGTCGTCTTTGATAAACTACAGACCCACATGTGCCAGGTAGTAGTTAGTGCCACCAACTTAGTCAAAAGAAATAGCTAGAAGGAGTTAGCAAAAGTGCTTTTTGAAGTGCTCTTATCTTCTCCCCTTTTGATTCCTTTCATTTGAAGATTTTGGGACATCATATTGCATTTTTTTTTCTTTTAACATTAGACAACACAATTGTTATTAATTCTTATTTTTCCTCCATAAAGTGGTTAATAATTAAATCCTTTTGTAATAACTATCTATTTTTTATTTCGAAATTTTATAGTGAAATACCATTTATATTCTAAGCAATTTCCAACGTAGAGAGGGGATTTAGAAATTGACATCGAATCAAATATCCTAAAAAATATCGCAATTCTGAAGGGCATTAAGTAGATAAAGATAAATTATTTATCATGAAGTATTTTTGTTTTTATTTTTTATTTTATATTACATAATAAAAAAAAAACAAATTTTTTTTGTTTTTCAACTTACTCAATTCACATATCATATGACTCTTAATTGAAATTTTTTATTTCATTAACGATTTGTTAGTTTGAGTAAAATAAACTCCTTTTCACTTAAATAAAATATTAAATTTGAATTTTATAAATAAAAACATAAGTATTGAAAGAATTTATCTTCTATTAGATTTAATGCGATTTGATTCTAAATTAATATGAATTTAATATAACTTTTATATATATAAGGGCTATATTGCACCTTCTGCCTTTTAATGTAATTTTGACAAGGAAAGAAAGACATTGACAAAAGGCACCGCCCAGGTGGTGTCATTTATGTTCAATCCCTCCAAAACGTCTTGGTTTCCAAGTGTCGCTCTCAACCCTCAAACTTCAATCCTCTCCTTTCTTCTGAAGTATTCACCTTTCTTCTGAAGTCTTCACCCCCAAACAGGTTTTCCTTAAAAGCCAAAAGCTTTGCTACCATTTGGATCAAGTATCCCATTTTCGGGTCCGTGATAGCCTGAAGTCTTCGAGAAATGGCGGACTGGGCACCGGTGTTGATCGGGGTGGTGCTATTCGTGCTGCTGTCGCCCGGACTTCTGTTGGAGTTCCCGGGCAAAAGCCGGTACCTGGAGTTCGGTGGCATGAATACCAACGGCAAGGCCATCGCCGTTCACACACTATTTTTCTTTGTCATTTATGCTGTGTTAATCCTCGTCGCCCACATGCACATCTACACCGGCTGAGACTGTTCGAGGTCTGTGCAGTGTAAGCGATTGAGCTTCTAATAAGTTGATGTTGTATTGCTTGCTTAATTAGGATTTGAATGTTAAAGCAAACATCTTTTCTTCTTCATTTGTGTGAATGAAATCGTTAGTTTTGCTTTGATTTTTCCATTTTGTTATTTAATTTTAGTTTTTTTTATTCTATCTGGTGACCAACCAGTTTACCTACTCTTGGTTTAACATTCAATTGCTTGGATTTTCACATTATGTTTATGTAGTAATTTGTAGAGCAAATAAATTTTCTAAGAATTAGAAAATTTTCTGGTTAGGATCAATTAGGTTAGCAAAGGATGTACACCAGAACTCTAGTCGGATTTGGAATTCAGGACTTTGAAGATGAACAATTATTTCATTTTTCATGCCCCAAAACCACAGGAATTGTTCTCCACATAGTAAAAGGAAAAAAAAAAAAGGAAAACGTGCTAAGCCAAGATCCTAGAAAGGACCTTTACAACAGAAGAAAAAAATTGGATTCGGGATCAGAAATAAAACAGAACATTAGCTTTTTCATTTCCAAGAAAACACCATTAACTGCTAATTTCCTTCCATTGGAATAAAATATTTTAAATTTAAATTACATAACATATAAATATGATAAAATAAAAAATGAAAAATAATTTCTTTTCGTTGTGCAATCAACATCAAAAAAAAAAAAAATTCTAGGAAAACAAATTGAAAGCAAGTTGCGGTTTGCATGTGCATGTGGATCCTTATTGCAATGATTAAGAGAGTGATCATACAGAAGTATATGATAGCAAGAACCAGGAATCCAGGATGGAGATCCCACTAGTAGACATGTTACCAAACTCCACCACCCGGCCTGGTCCTCACTGGCAGCTGGAACATGAAAACTATGGACCGCAATTCTGTAGGGCACTAAGTAGAAAAAGATAAATTATTTACCATAAACTCTTTTTGTTTTTATTTTTATTTTATTTTATATTACATAATAAAAAAAAATTATTTATCCTAAACTCTTTTTGTTTTTATTTTTTTATTTTATATTACATAATAAAAAATAATTTTTTTTAAAAATTTTCTAACATACTCAACTCACATATCTTAGGAGTCTTATTTAAAATTTTTTACTTTACTAACAATTTTGAATGGAAAAAACTCAATTTCATTTAAATAAAATTTTGAGTTTAAATTTTGTAAATAAAATAAAAGTGTGGAAAGAAATTTTTTTTTTATAAAGTTTAATATATAAATATAGAAAGAGAGGAGTTAATAAAAAAAAATCTTTTACTTCTAAAAAATAAAAGGTTAAACCTCTTTTTTGGTCCCTCAACTATCGTATGGACCCCTGATTGAGTCCCTCAACTCAAAAAATCCCTGACTTGGTCCATACTGTTTACCATTTTAACCCTGACTTGGTCCTTTTGTTAAAAATCGCATGACGTGTCATATTAATTCACGATAACACTATGACATGTCAAAACACGTGGAAGACACCATGGCAAACAATAGTGATATGGAAAAAAATAATAATATGGTAAAAAATATTAATATGACAAAAAAAAAACTTTAAAAACTTTTTTTTTTCCCTTTCTCCTTCCCATTGTCTTTCCATTGGGGTCATGGGTTCCTGGCTTCCTTGGAACCTAGGCGTTGGGGTTCCTTTGAACCCGACGCTGGGTTCGAAGGAGCCCAATGCCTAGGTTCCTTTGAACCCATCCCTGGGTTCTTTCGAACCCAGGCGTGGGTTCTTTCGAACCCAGGCGTGGGTTCTTACGAACTCAGCGCTGGCTTCCGTTGAACCCAGCCAGGTTCAAAGGAACCCACGCCTGGGTTCTACGAACCCAGTGCTGGGTTCAGAGGAACCCAGGCTTGGGTTCCTTTGAACCCGACGCTGGATTCCAAGGAACCCAAGGGCAAAAACTAAAAAATATTTATGTTTTTTGTGTTTTGGTTTGGGTTTTGTGTTTGATGATGAGAAGAATTGATTGACGGAGAAGGTAAGGCAAGGAAGAAGAAGGAGAAAGGGTGCCTGTTGGGTTCGATTGAACTCAGCACCTGGGTTCCTTTGAAGAATTGATGTTTGATGAAGAATTGATGTTGGATGAGGAAGGAGAAGGTGATGTTTGATGAAAAATATATATATATATATATATGTGTGTGTGTGTGTGTGTGTGTGTGTTTTTGTGGATTTTGTTGTTTTTTGATGAATTGATCGATGAAGATGAAGATGAAGAATTGATCGACGAAGATGGCAAGGAAAGGAACAAGAAGGTGAAAGAGAAAGTGGAGGAAAAAAGAAAAATTTTTAAATTTTTATTGCCAAATCATTTTTTTTGCCATGCTGGATTTCCACGTAGGTTTA